CCCACGGGCAACAGCTTCCCCCTGTCCTGCCTCGGGGCTGCCAGGGCCCGTGCTGGTGCTCAGAGCACGCTGCCAAAAGCCCTTCGTCGATCTGTACCTCACTTGTGAGGAAGAGGAGCACGTTCTGTTGCCTTGCTGCAGATAGGAAGAATGAGGCAGGAAAGTGCATCGCTCAGGTCCGCGGGGTAAATTGGCACCAAACTGGTGATTCCTGCTCCGTAGCCCGTGGCTGCAAGGCTCTGGGCTGAGAGTGGATCGCAGGGTTAATTTTTCTGATATAAAGCAAAGCTCATTTCTCTGCTTGTGGTAGCTGAGCTTTTCCTCAGTGATGATCGTGATTAATTTTGTGCTTAGGTGAACTGTCAGAGGAGTTTTCACTTTCAATTTGAAGCCACAGAAGAAGCAGAGGGTTAATGTATTTGCCCGTGCAGGTGCTGCTCCACTGTGCTTCCAGGGGCCCAGTTTATTACCAGATTAACTGGAGCCTCAGTTGAAGTCCAAGGGGATGCCTGGCCCCGGGCTTACACAGTAAGCGGCTCCATTGCTTTTACTACAGGCCAGACTTGCCACCTTGCTCACATGAGCGGCGTGCAGCCCCCAGGCCAGCGTCCCCCTCGCTCCCTGACCCTGGGTGTGTGTATCTGGGGAGACGCTCCTGGTGCTGCTGTTGGCGGCAGCGTGCTGTGGCCGAGCAGAGGGCTCATGTCCTGCCAGGGGATGGTCTGGCCTTGCTGGGAGGTGACCCTGCCCCTTGGCTAGCTGGTGTCCTCTGAATGCCTGGAGAGGCTCGGCCTCACCCCTGGAAATCACCTTTGCCAGCTCGGAGGAAAGGCTCTGAGCCACATATGCTGGGCTGCCGTGTGCCGTCGGTGCGGGCAGGGGTGAAACTTGAGAGTGCCGGCGCTGCAAAGCCACCGCCGCGCTCCGGCGAAGCACGTACGCTCCCATGTTCCTGCAAGCAGCAGGTTCTCTTTACCTGTTTTTTCAGCTAAGCCTTTTATAGAGGAAAAAGGTTACCTAAGCAGAGCACAGAGATCTGATTCCTGATTAGAAAACACACTTCTTTGTGCAGACAAAGCCAGTCCTGCGTGGCACAGGGAATCTGCGGGGCGAGCTGAGCTGAGCTGAGCTGAGCTCTCATTGTCCCAGGTTTCAGCTGGAGCAGAGCTGAGCTGGTAGTGTCACCCCCAGAAAAACTAATCATCTCCTTCCTCCAACCCCTCTCAGGAGCTAACGATGTCCTGCTGCACAGAATAATAGGCCTGGCAAGACCTCGAGCTAAGAATTAACTAGTCGGTTGTGCAGGATCTCCAGGGGGTGAAGAACAAGCCTCTGTGCCACCCTGAGCTCATTTAGCAAAGCGGGAAACCTCTTTGCCTTTGCGGCGCTCTCCTGTCTTCATCTGACATCAGAACTTCCACCTGGTGAATCGTTCGCTTCTAACTGGGGGTGTTGGGGCTGAGCCGAGAGGTGACACTGAGGCCAGAGAGGGACCCGAGCGACAGCCACGGCCCCAGCCTGGCCTTGCTGACAAGTGCAGTGCAGGAGGGGTGCTCCAGCGCAGGGTGACTGCGGAGGCAGCAGCGTGGGGAGGTCGTGTCCAAAGTGTCACCTGAACCCACGTGGCTCTCTGCGGTGGTGGTCTGGTCCTTGTCCCCAGTGTCAGAGCCGTAGCACGTACGGCAGGCAAGGGGCCCGGCCCAGGAACAGGCAGTTAGCCCGTACGGACCTCACCTCCTGGCCGCTCTGGGTTTCAGA